ACTTTGGTAATCAAGATTAGACTCATCCAAACTCTTTCCGAATCCTCTGCACTGTCCTCAGATTATCACCCACTCTGAAATATTTTTATTGGAGCTTCCGGTGCGAATGCCAATCGGTACAGCATGCCGTTTCCAAATGTCTGGCGGAGTGAATTGCGTTATGATGCTTTTTTCTCACAGACGGTGCCCAACTGACCCTACTATACTGTGCTGTCGATAAAATCAAAAACAAAAAACGCGCATGCGCGAAATTAAAAATATAAAATGGCGAAAATTTACCCACCGCACATTGTAGATATGATGAAAATATAATTTTAAGGTAGGCAATATATATGGGTAAAACTGCTCAACAACAGGGATAGATCGGGTGTAAATATAAAAGTCGACACAGAAATCAACGCTGAGTAGCGACAGTCTATTTCATGTTTGAACGTACACTTATATATTGTTGCGGGCCCAGTAGCATGCAGTGCTGGTTTATTAATGTTGAAGCTTAAATAAGCATGGAATAATACAACACAAAATGTACGTTAACAAAATGTATTGAAACAAAGAATAGGTACACAATATTTACAGTTAGTTTGGTATATTCTTGGGAAGACTGTTCCTGCATAATGGGTTGACTAAATCGCAGTCGGGCAGAGTCTCTGGATTCAATTTCTTAATCTCTACTATCTTCCCCGTCTTCCGGTACCAACCCATATTTATATGGTCGGTAGTCCGCTTATGTAAATTAGGTGTATCATACACAACAATTAAAAGGTGGCCTTGTGTCAGACACTACTTATGACTACCGAATCCACAAACAAAGTAAAAATATTGAATGAGTGATCTTAGTAAGGAAAAGGGGTCATTCAACAAGTGCATAAAAATAATACAAGTAGATAGCCAGGATTAAACGACAAAATGAGTCTGGTGGAAAACAATAAGAAATTTTATTTTAATAACAAATAATCTAGTCTCGACCGTGGAGACCATCAGTAAAGTTACTGGATCTTTGCAATTAATGAAAAGGTTGTGACAAGAGGTCACTGAAGGAATGACAGTGTTCCGCGCCAAAAACAGAAAACCAAAATGGCTAAGGCGGGAAAAGTTCTTCAGGAAGAAAGTTCCAGAACAGTCAATTTATACGGAATATTATACATACACAACAAAGAAAATACTCACTGCGAATTTTGTTAGTGTGAGTGTAATGTTATATTTTTAAGGTACTGGTTCATAATGTTTAGAGATCAACGGATATGAGAAGTTCTCATTCTTAACTGTTGCAAAGTTTCAAAGTTTTCTGGTCATGGACGAAGGCAGGGCTCGAACAAGATGTTCGCCACTCGACGAGAAATTAGTCATCGAAAAAGGTGTTGTGATGGCTGTGTTATAAGTGCTATGTTTTCCTGATAGAAAACAGAAGAAAGTTCAAATAAGATGTTAGCCTTAGGTCGAGGAAATAGTCGTCGAAAAGGTGATGTGGCGAACGTGCGGTGAGCTCGAAGTTTTCCTAATAGAAAAAAGAAGAAAAAGTGCAAACAAAATGTTGGCTTCAGGGCGAGGAATTAATTGCTTGATGGGATTACGCACGACGAGCCAAAAGGGACTAAGCATAATTTGCTGTTAAGATATCCCTGTCTGTATTATGGGTTAACTGATGAGGAATAAATGAGTCGACTTCTGGGTTCAGTGTCCTGACCGCGACTAACTTCGAAAACCAGTTTGTCCGTGACGTCAAAGAAATTGCGCGGGAAGATTTCAAATTCCAGTTCAAATGATATCAGGAGCAGCCAGTAAGCTTGACGGCAACAAAAGGATGGCTTACTGCTATGTCTAGTCGCAAACGGAAGGAAGGGGTGCAAAACGCACGCGCGTAAAAGGATGGAATTTATGCACGATTCCATTAATATATATATATATATATATATATATATATATATATATATATATATCGCTGTAGATGTGATTTACACTGAGGGCTGGAGCGACGAGAGAAGAAATGAAGGCGGGGAGAAGCGTGCTCGATAATATTTTATTATAATACTACTAATACGACTGCCATTGAACATTTGAAATAGGACTTTTGTCCGGACAAAGGTCCTATTTCAAATGTTCAATGGCCAACCACATTTTTGAAGGGCCAAATAAAGAGACCTGATGCACTACGTGCCACAAGGTCCCCAAACGACCCTCCGCAGGTTTTGAATTCAGAGTTGTCCTTCTTCTAGACCAGTTTCCATCCAAGGCTATAGAACCCAGTCTGTGTTGCTGATTACCCATAGCCGAGGGGAGAAGAAGAGGATTCATACTTTTCCTAAGGTCATTACCGCAAGTGAATGTAATGGATTCGAGTGGAATTTGAACGGCTCTCCGAGTCCTCAGTCCGAGTCCTCAGTCCAAGCCTCTCTCTCTCTCTCTCTCTCTCTCTCTCTCTATATATATATATATATATATATATATATAAATAAGACATTTTTATGTTTATACGTTCTTTTTATAGATACAAATATTTAAAAAATGCTCTGTTTTATAATAAACAGTATTAACAACATTTACCGGCCTGAATGTCCGAGAAATTTTCATAGATATTGTCATAGATATTCAAAGCGTCGCTCGATCGCTTAAGGCACGTCAGGCTATATGACGGTTCCCCTATAGGATACAGGTTCGATTCCTGTCGGAGGATGAATATTTTCGATGAATATTTGTACCTATAAAAAGAATGTATAAACATTGTCTTAAAATAATTGTCGGACTTTGTCCATCATATATATATATATATATATATATATATATATATATATATATATGGCGAGAGAAGAGAAGACCATCCACACCTTTTTGAAGGGACGAATACAGAGACCTGGTGCACCGAATGCCACAAGGTTCCCAAAACGACCCTCCGCAGGTTTTGAATTCAGAGTTGTTTTTCTCCTAGACCAGTTGCCATCCAAGACTATAGAACTCAGTCTGTCCTGCTATTTTACCCATAGCTGGAGGGAGAGGAAGAGGATTCATACCTTTCCCAAGGGTATTAGCACGTAAGTGAATGTAATGGATTCGATGGATATATATATATATATATATATATAACATTGTTGTGTATGATACACCTAATTTACATAAGCGGACTACCGACCATATAAATATGGGTTGGTACCGGAAGACGGGGAAGATAGTAGAGATTAAGAAATTGAATCCAGAGACTCTGCCCGACTGCGATTTAGTCAACCCATTATGCAGGAACAGTCTTCCCAAGAATATACCAAACTAACTGTAAATATTGTGTACCTATTCTTTGTTTCAATACATTTTGTTAACGTACATTTTGTGTTGTATTATTCCATGCTTATTTAAGTTTCAACAAACATAAACATCGATGAATATATATATATATATATAACATAAAAATATCGTTTTACGGTATGCTATATTCACAGGTTAAACTGCTCAATATCAGGGACAGAGTGTCTGTAAATATAAAAGTGAACATCGAGTTTAATCATGAAACGGACAGTCGCAGCTGGATGCTGTTCTAAATGTCAACTCAAATGGATGTTTTTAATCATTTCGACCCATTGAAAGGTGGGTATTCCACTAGTACGGTGGATACATGGAGTGAAAGTGAGAAAATAAGGTGGATTGAGGAACGGACAAAAACATGAAGGGGATTCAAGAAAACAGAAGAAGGCGTTTGATGTTGCATTTACATTTTTGAAGACTCTAGTTACCATGAAAGCAAATAAGCGGAAGGGAGTTCCACTGTCGGGAAGTGAGAGAAAAGAAACTGTTAGAGTAGAATTGGTGGTTGCATTTTGGTATTTAAACAGAAAACGGGTCGGACCTAGATGCCAATCTAGTGCCACACTTAAATTTATGCTGTCGGTGGACCAGGGAAAGCTTACCAGAGCAGTTGCCATGAAAATATTTGGAGAAAAGACAGAGGGAAGCCACGTCACGTCGGTGAGAAAGTGACTGAAGTCGAGTCGCTAAGTTAGGATCAGTTACATTACGGATACTTCTTTGAATTTTTCAGGAACCTCAACATATACATACATATATATATATATATATATATATATATATATATATATATATATATATATATATATATATATATATATAAATATAAATAAATGGATATAAATCCGACAGAATGAAGAAAATATCTGGAAAAACAAAACAAAAATCCTTAAAATGCGATTATGTTGTTTTAATATGAATGAAATGTCGACGTCTGACGTTTCGGTTTAATAACCTTCAGGACAATATTCATTAAAATACAATTAACATAATCAGTATAACACGACGAAAACGATGGACATAAAAAACAAGTCTTATCCAAGTTTTTTTATTTTTGATACATGAATCTACTAGTCTCCGCGTATTCCTACAAGAACAGAAAAGATTTTCTAACGAACTGTATATATGAAAAATCTTTCCATCGGAATCAAATTTATAAAAATTTTAAGAATACGTCGTGAAAGCGTCGCCCATTTGACGACAACGTGACCACGCTCAAACGGAAAGCTGATCATTTAAAATTTTCATTTATCTGTTTTGGATAAGACTTGTTTTTTATGTCCATCGTTTTCGTCGTGTTATACTGATTATGTTAATTGTATTTTAATGAATATTGTCCTGAAGAAGGTTATTAAACCGAAACATCAGACGTCGACATTTCATTCATATTAAAACAACATAATCGCATTTTAAGGATTTTTGTTTTGTTTTTTCCAGATATTTTCTTCATATATATATATATATATATATATATGTGTGTGTGTGTGTGTGTGTGTGTATAATAATAATATATATAATGATAATATATCGCACATATAATGCTGGTGTTAATAAAACAGTGCTCAATGCATTATAACAGAGCTGTTAAGTATATATATTAATAAATATACATATTATCCATCACCACCAGTAAAACTCTAAGTTTCATGAACAATACAATATTCAGGTGTTGAGTATGAGTAGATAGATAGATAGATAACAAACAGACGCAGTTAGATAGATATAAAACAGGTTGCAATAGATAGATAGATAGATAGATAGATAGATAATGAACAGACTCGGTTAAATAGATATGAACAGGCTACGATAGATAGAAAAGGAACAGACTGCGATAGATAGATAATGAACTGACTTAGTTAAATAGACATGAACAGGATGCGATAGCTATGAACTGACTGCAATAAATAGATAGATATGAATACCCCATATATATATATATATATATATATATATATATATATATATATATATATATATAATAATTTTTTAAAAAATATGATTCCATCGCTACATAAGAGTTCTCTTGTTTCAAAAAAAGGAGCTAAAAACTTCAATTTCATTATAAAAATTAAATTGAATTAAAGTATCAAGTTTTGTTTCATATCCAAGCGAATATTTTGGAAAATTTGTTCGCTGGAACCAAAATAAAATTTAACATCGTTACCGGAATGTATGCTCGCCCGATATAGGATATTATCGGTGATACATTGACTGTTTAAAGGACAGATTTTATTTTGTTGGCAGATGCATTTCTTTTTCGAACAATATACGCTTTCTTTGTTGGAAATATGTTTGTTTAACATATGTTCATTCTCTGCACCTGAAGACTGCGTCGTGCATGAAACTCGGATTCGTACTAGCGGTGAGGTATAATATGCATATATATATATATATATATATATATATATATATTGAAGTCAGCACTCAGAGACAGACGATTGCGTCTAGCATGAAACAGCCTGTCACCTCTGAGTGTTGACTTCAGTGTTCACTTTTATATTTACATACGTTCTCTGATATTGAGCACTTTATCCCTTAAATATAGCATACCTTAAAACTACATTTCTTCATTCATATATATATATATGTATATAATTATTTATTTAAAAATTATAACATAAATATATTATAAAATCACTACAAAAATTTGTTATAATTTTTAAATAAATAATTATATCTGCTCTACTCTGTATTGAGCACTCTTTTAAGAATAGTAATTGTTGGTTATCGGAATTTATTCCATATACACCAATCATATACTTGTATATATATATATATATATATATATATATATATATATATATATATATATGTGTGTGTGTGTGTGTGTGCGTGTGTGCTTGTGTAATATATTGGAAATTTGCCTATTTACATACTGTCTTATACATTCAAATAAATACTTTTTCACATGTCTTTATTTTATTCCGAAGAGACGCAAACTGCACTACTGCTTTTGCAGCTAAGCTGGAACAGTCAAATTTCATCTCAGGAAGGACTGGAATGAGGAGTGCGTAGCAGAATCAAGGAACTTAGGGTCATAATGAGAGGCAGATTTGGGGAAGGTTGCTACTTGTAGGATTGGAAAGACATGCGCAGGGAAAGTTAGTGCGCGATATAAGCTTTCAATTTTACGCAATTTCTCCTTATCGAGCTGATGCATGTTATAGCGTATCTAATGATATTATATAGAGTAAAAGAAAGCCTTTAGAAAAGAAAAGAAAAATGAATCAAATTTTAACAAATGAATATGCCACCATCTCCTCATTTCAGTCCGACCTCATCCTGTCTGCTCCTCTCAACGAACATTTTGGTCTTCAACGGAGAAATTCTTTTTGATTCCCATAAATAACCAAGTACTTTCTGACATTTATAATCTGAATAATAGCGTTTCCTTTTCTTCGCTACAAAAAATGGGGGAAAAAAACGAGAAACCTTGCAGTAATGGCAGAAATAAAACGAAAGCGCCATTTTCAGAGTTCAGATATTAAACAATGGAAAAGGTTTTTTTTCTTGTAGCAATGATCCAGCGAAAAGACTGGTAAAGTTACTTTTGACTTTTGATTTAAATAAAATATATATGAAACAGCGCGCATGCGCGCGCGCTTGCGCGCGCACACACACACACACACACATATGTATTTGAGAGAGACAAAGAGAAAGAGAAAGGGGGAGCGATAGAGGGGTAGAGAGAAAGATACGAAGGAAGAGAGGCTGACAGAATAAAGGAGGAGAAGACTGATAGAGAGTTAATTGCGAAAGAGAACGAGAGAGAGAGAGAAAGAGAAAGAAAGAGGGAGCGGGTGGGTGTCAGAGAGAAAAAAACGAAGGAAGAAAGATTGGCAGAACAAAAGAGGCAAAAGATCATAGAATCAATAAATTACGAAAGAGAAAGAGAAAGAAAGAGGGTGAGAGAGAGAGTGAGAGAGAGAGAGAGAGAGAAAGTGGGAAAGAAAGAGAAAGAGGGAGCGGGGGAGTGGTAGAAAGAAAGACGGAAGAAGTAAGATTGGTAGGACAAAGGAAGAGAAGGATGACAGAGAGTTAGTAAATTAGGAAAGAGGAGAGAAAGAGCGCGAGGCGGAGTAAAAGACGAAGAGGGAGAGTGATAGAGAGAAAGACACGGAGGAAGAAAGACTGGTAGAACAAAGGAGGAGAAGAGTGATAGAGAGTCAATCAATTACGAAAGAGTAGGAGAAAGAGTGAACGAGAGAGAGAGAGAGAGAGAGAGAGAGAGAGAGAAGTGAGAGGAAGTGGCGAACAAGAAGAAAAAAGAGAAAACGGAAAAGAAACACATATATACAAGGTCTGATGTGTAAATTGTCGCCATTTTGTATTTTTAATTTCTTGCCTCGTGTTGTTTGTATTGGATTTTGTCTACTTTGTATTATAGCAAGGTCAGTTGGTCACCGTCTATGAGAAAAAGTGCACCATGACGCAATTCACTCCGCCAGAAATTTGGAAACGGCATGCTGTACTGCTTGGCATACATGCTAGATCTCCAATACGAACATTTCAGAATGTTCGAGTTTCAATCTGGGGACAGTGTAAAGGATTCAGAAAGAGTTGGATGGTGATTATGAAGGTGTTTGGAGTGATCATTAATAATGCCTCCATTCATTTTCCCACAGGACAGACTCAACATGGAGGTCTAAATCAAGTGCCTTGAGAAGGTAGTACTGCTCTGGGTCAAGAGAGTGGCTGCTGGAAGAGCTTATACCTGGCAACAAAATTCTGCACCATGCCATACAAGCAGGAGAACCCAGTCATGGCTGTCAGACAATTTCTGGCACCTAACTCCCTAGACTGCAACCCTCTTGATTATTATGTGTGGGAGGCATTTGAGCGAGAGACCAACAAAACTTGTGACCCCCAAAATGAATTGAAGACAAGGACAATGGTAACATTCACCAACTTAAACAAAGAGATCTAGAAAAAATGCAGAAGATTCTGAAGTCGCCTGGAGGCCGTTGTTGAAGCTAATGATGTATTTAATTGAATAAGTTTACTCTTTAGTATTTCAAGATATTTTTGTGTAATTTTGGTAAATATATCTGTTAAAATGAGATGTCAGCGTTATTTTCATTTTTGCGTAATTTAAACGACAGTTTATCCAACGTTTTCTCTTTCTCTCTCTCTCTCTCTCTCTCTCTCTCTATATATATATATATATATATATATATATATATATATATATATATATATATATATATATATATATATATATATATATATATATATATATATATATATATATATATATATATATAAAATATTTATTTAAAAATATGATTCCAAAATATATTTTTAAATAAATAATTATTATATTTTAAATAAATATTTTTAAATAAATAATTATATTTATGCCCTACTTTTGTATCGATAATTATTTTTAAAAAATAATAACTAAAATACTCAGGGACTTTGGATTATTTACCTAACCAGTTCCTTCCTATTTTCTATATATTTACACACACACACACACACACACACACACACACAAATATATATATATATATATATATATATATATATATATATATATATATATATATATATATATATAAGCCAGACGAAATAAATAAACGAGACTATATCAGGCCCTCACTGTTTCCAATCATAACTGATTGGAGATGTTAATATGCATATATTTTGACCTTTTTTTTACACTTAGTCAATGTAATAGAAGGCCCAAGAGCCACACAAGTCAGAGTGTTACTGAGCGAAATAGTTTTAAAGGAGGGGGGAGAGATTAAGGAGTGCGCATTATAAGTAAGTAACCTTCCGTACCACAGTAGATGACGCACTGTGAATCTCTGTTTATGAGAGGGTATGTCGAGAATTGAGTTTTTAAAAAGTTTGAATAATGACGTACTCGAAGCGACTTGGGAGTCACATCTAGATATTTGAGAATACCCTTAATCGGAGACCGTCTGAGGGATCTAGTTCACCTATGAAGTTATTCCGTGCTGGGATCCTTTACCAAAACATGTCACCCTCTCGGATACATTTGGCTGTGATGAATGCGCCTCATATATCTTTATCATGGTAATAATAATTGAGATTTGTACATTTGTACTCCAGCGTCACTTTGTTGTCTGACTGCTTTCTCTCTCCCAATCTGCACTGGAAAATCTGCCACTTCATCGGGAAGGAAACTGAAAGAAACTGGTATGAACACCACCCAGACCCGGTTACGGAGATAGGACCTGTTACTATTCTATGGGACTACACAATACACACTGACAGAACAATCAAAGCCAACCGCCCAGATATTGTTATTAAAGACCACAAACAATAAAAGTGCCTCCTTATTGATATGGCAGTCCCTGCTGACTGAAATGTATCTTTGAAGATATTCAAAAAGTTGTCAAAATACAAGGACCTTGAAATAGAAATCTCGAAAATGTGGCATATGGGAACATCAACAATCCCTGTTGTAGTTGGAGCCCTAGGACTGGTTGGAAAAGATTTCAGTAGACTAATTGAAGGGATTCCTGGAAGTCCATGCCTCAAGAAGATACAAAAAATTGTTCTGACAAGTACAGCCCACACTTTACGAAGTGCTTTATCTATGTAATATTTTTTTCTTTGTCAGTGGAAAGTGTCATGATGCCATTTCTAACCTTAGGTCCATGGGCGGGACCCGGAAAGAAATGTGTAAACGCCAGAAATCAAAGAAAATAGTAATAATAATAATAATAATATCACAGCACTTAGAAGAGCGCGATGTAAGAAAAAATAAATAAAAGAATACGGTATTTGGCAATGCTTAATAAGATTTCGACAGTATATCTGTCTTCTTCAAGCTATGTTTAAAAATTGTATACAAGCACACAAAATATAAAAACATATCCGCAAAGAATTATATAAATAATTATATAAATAATTATATAAATTTATATAAATGTCGCTTGTCTTAAAAAAAAAAAAAAAAACAAACAAAAAAACAAACAAACAACGGTTGTACTGGTAATCAACGTGTCAAAATGAATGCAACGGGGCCTGCGTGAATAGAATGCAACTGAAACGCGAGTAAAATGAAAGTGGTCGTGCCCATCTTGAAATTTACCGTCAGTTGATTACTTACTAATAGCAATTAATTAAACAATTTAGTATAAATCTTATGGAACTATCCCGTCATCCTGTTCACCCCTCCCCCGACCGGTGTATGAAGTTAGTAGAATATATATGTAACTATTTCCATCCGTTTGAAGGGTAGGAAGGTCTGTCTATTCTGGATATTTTTTAATAATGGGCACCTTAAGATATTCGCCGAAATTTTAGTCGTTTCCAATAAAATGTTACGCCAGCTCCGATGATGTCACATTTTTGTATCTGACATCATATCTGTGGCTATTAAATCTCTTGCTTAATTTTTTTTCATTGTAAAATCCACACAAATCAAGTCATATTTGGTACATTGTGCGGTGTATATCGAATGGGAATCAGCACACCTTTTGAAGAAATTGTTTCTCTTTGAATTTGGGAGAGAATTGACTTGACTCATGTTGTTTCACAACGAACAGGGTTTTCTCCTTCTATGAATGATCCAAAACTTCCGCAAAGTTTTGAGTGGGAACTCTTGTATTCCTTAAAATTTTTCTGGTGTTTTTTTTTTCGTTTGAAAGAAACGACAGTCGGGTTGGGAATAGTCTCTTTAAAACGCGTTAAAGATATCCATAGCTGTCTTGTAGTACTTTTGAAATGCTAGTAAAATTTCGGTGCCAGTTAATGACAAATAGAATTCGGTCAGAATTTTTATTGTGTTTTTCGGTGTCTTGATTTGGGGCAAAATTTGAGCAATCTTCATTTTTAGATATTTCACTGGCAGTTGGTTTCAGTCGTGACTCGTAATAGCCGCGCTTGACGTAATGTCGAATGAAATCATTAGCACGCATCCAATACTCTTTTTTCGCCGTGAAAATTCATCTTCTGCGCAAGAATTGGGACTCCGGATTTTATCGTGTGATAATGATAGTCAAAACAACGGTGAAGATAAGTATGTAATGAGGCAGGTACGCAAAATAGCTCTATCATTAGACGACTTTCTTGAAAACTTGACTCTAGTGTCTAAAAATTCAACGCTAATTTTTGAGAAACTGGATGTAAATTTTATATCTGATCGAAAATTGTTCTTTTGCGCAAAGGTATAACAAAATTGTGGAAATTTTATCAAACTTTTCTGTGTAACTTCCCAGATTAAGAAAATATCAATATTTCGGAACTAAAGTACAGGTTTATGGCCGTGTTGTGATTTGAAAGCTTAAAGTAGTTTTTCTTCGAAGTTTGTCATGAAAACATTCCAAAAAATAGCTGCCATCGGGGGTCCCATTGCAGATCCTTTGATTTGATCGTGAAACTTTTGTCCAAACTTCAATGTGTTGCTTTTCAAGACGAACGAGATAAGTCTGCAGAGAAAATTTGACGGAATAGTTTTGTTTTAGCGTTTTTCAAAAGATTTGCTCCATTTTTATAAAATCTTTCATTGTAAAACTAGACTGGCGTTTAGATATCAATTTACTGTTGAACTGTCTGGATGTAGCCGTAACTTCTATGATAACAGATTCTTGTCTCGCCCTTCTCGCTTGTGGAACTCCCTTCTGGCTCTATGCTTTTCAACTAACTTTAATCTGCAAAAATTTAAATGCAGTTACAGTCACTATCTACCGTCCTCCTGATTACTCTTTTCTCTTTCTCCTCACTATTAATATTTTTGTTCCTAATTCTTCCACACTCTATAACCCCTTGTATACTAGTAGCTTGCTTGAACTACTTATTCTCATATAGATATGAAAATAAGTAGTTAAATCTATGAGAATAAAAGACAAAAGGAAAACTTATCTTAGCCGACGCGTTTCGTCCTCTGAGGGACTTTATCACTGCAAATGTAACGACTTTGTTTTATGACAAGTATTTATATACAAGATTATTATAATAAAAATTGAAAATTATTTCAATAGGTTTTATTGGTTTTTCAAAATGTTTAAGTATAGAAATGCTCATGAATATTCCTCAGGTTAACGGAATGTCAGGTAAGTTCATGAAGTGATACAATTCTGTTTAATTTCTGATTTGTTATCGATCGGAGATTTTACCCCATAGCCATTGGCGCACAGTAGGGATGAAGGTGAATTTAGACCTATTTATTTTTAGACAAACACACCAGGGACCGAAGAACCCGATTCGTCGTAACGTAGAGTCTTGCATCAGCAGCA